CGCATTCGGCCGGTGGCGAACGAAAAATCTACCGCCGAGTGTCCATTCGTTGACGCTGTTGCGTGATTAATGCGTTTCTGATTGTTATTCGTAATACTCCAGAATTTATGGCGCATTAGAACCTCAAAATAAAGCGCTCACACGCTAGACGCCCGCGCTGGTTCAAAACCGCTTCGTTCGCGTGAAGATTCACGACAAGTCCGGATTTCGGGTTCCGGCGAGTTTTCCAGGAATTCGCGAAAGCACAACGCTGATAATGGAAATTTTAAGCGTATTTAAAGTTGTATGGCGCTGCGGCCGCGGCGTTGCGAAATGAATAATGAAAAAGAAAGGCGGAAGGTAGATATCCGCGAAATATGTATGCTAGGCGGAGAAAGTGGAAGAAAAAGAGCGGTAATCTTAATTGAATACAGTTAAGCCGCTTTACGTTTTGCCGTTAATACATATCTAACGTCTTTCGTCCTGTTCCTTGTTATAAAGCAGGTACCTCCGACGCCTCCTACGAAACACAGGGGCCCAGCTTCGTGACGGAGCCGCCGTCAAGGGTGGAGTTCACCAACGTGAACGGCGGCCGGGTGGACTGCACCGTGCGAGGAAATCCACTGCCAACCGTCGACTGGCTCGCGGCGGACGGCGGCAGTATAACGAACATCCTCGGTATCAGGCATGTCCTCGGTAACGGGACGATACACTTCCCCGCGTTCGAGGCCGAGGCCTTCCGGCAGGATGTCCACTGGGCCATTTACAAGTGCTCCGCCGTCAACAGTGTCGGCGCGGTCGTTAGCAGAGACGTCACCGTCAGAGCAGGTATGTCAACCGAGCGAAACTTGCCGAGCTCGTTATCTGCGGTCCGCTTCTCTGCATTATTCCCCGTTGCTCCCCGACGTCGTCGACGTCCTCCTCGTGTTCTACGGAGGTCGTGGAGATGAAGACCTTGCGAGCGACGCGTGCGCGTGTGTATCCACAGACGATGGACTCATGCTTACAGATTTGATCGCCACTTCTGGTCTCCGGACGGTGAGATGAAATTTCCTTCTCGCACACGTTTATGCGTTTATATCGTATCGGATTATAATCAGCGAACTAAATAATGGGGCTGTCTCTCCGTCGTTGGCACAGCAGAATCTAAAGGATAATGGAATTACTAGATATTGAAATCGCAATTTGGTATTCCATTGAAAGAAAATGTTATAGAGAAATCTGGGAAGTAATCAAGTTATTAAGAATTGTACAATTTACATTATCATATTAGACAATTATTGCCGTAAGTTAAGAGAATTGTATAGTGTATATTATTGTATTAAACATTCATTGAACAATTAAATTAAAGAGCTTTAAATGAAAGAGCTTTTTTGGCGACGAACTCTAGTGTGATAATTAAATAACGGAGCTATGATTTTCGAACTTTAAAAAAACAATTTTATTCCTAACTTGAGGTTTCCAGTATTAGTACGTTAAATAAATTACTGTGTTTAATAATAAGTGTCCTGCACGGAAGAAATACTTTTGCGCTGAAGTATCTAAAAATTTAAGCAGATACAGAACTAAAAATAATTTTGTTGGATTAACTATCAAAATAATTATGTAGGATGCTCAAACTGGTTGCTAAAACCAGAAAACTTTTTGCAGCACTGCTCATCATGCTTCAGTTTCCTAAATAATTATTTTGATGGTCCAACAGAATTATTTTCAGAGCTGTATCTAAATTTTAAAATGTTTCAGAAAAATTGTTCTTTCCGTGTACTACATGAAAGTGTATGGAGAAAACTTGGAAGTAATCAAGTTATATTCTGAATTATTCGCACATCGTATGTTAAAAATTTCCAAATAGCACAATTCGTTCTGCACATAAATATTTTATGAATATTTTCCGGAAACTTTGGAATATTCTCAAAAGATATGTATATGAAGTAAAAAGAACGTTCTAGGAATATTTATAAGATATTCAATGAGACTGTTTTCGTAATTTTAAGAAAGTCCATAGTTATAAAACCAGGCTCAATTGAATTTGTTATTTGTACCTTCTTGTAGTTAAGTACACTGTTGAAGAAAGTGTGTCGAATTTAATATAAATCGCATGTTTCAAACAGTCCACTCAAATTTTTCGATTAATTTAACACACAAGATGAATATGTTAGAAGGTTACACAAATATTATGTAAAAGAATAAATACAAAAAAGGTAATATTGACACAGTTTGTAAACAAATCGTGGAAGCATATTTTTTTTAGTAAAATTAACATTTATGATATGTTAAATATTTTATTCATTTATCTTAGAATTTACATTTTAAAACACTTTATTTTCATATTATTTATTCACTTACTCATAAATTGTATCATTTGGATACTAAGAAACGTTGAATAAGTTTAACAAAATCTTTATATAACATAATCATAATATCTTAAATTGACATTCGAATATGTTAAAAAATTTAATACAAACAATTGACAAGAATCTGAGTAGTCTGTTTCCAACACACATATATACAATGATTTTGTATACAAATTCGGACACAGGACATAGCCAATGTTACTCAAAAAATGATGAAGTTAATTTGATTGTAACGCAGAAACATAATTAGCGACTGCAAGATTCAGGCGTACTCTATAGAAATTTTCCTAAGCAATATTCCTAATAGAATATTCTTAAAACATTCAAAATGTTCAACAAAATTTTGAACATTTTAGGAATAGTTTGTAAATGTTCAGTGCAAGTATTCTCGAAGAAAAATATTGGTATCAATGTATGTAGAATATTCATAGAATAATGTGCTATCTGGATTAAGAAAATTGAAGAATTATGACAATTTATATTATCGTATCAGATAATCATCGCTAAATTAAATAAAAAAATCTTTAAAATGAGCTAATTTTGCGGTGAAATCTCGAGTAATAATTAACTAACCGAGCTAATTTAATTTTCGATTTAAAAAAAGGTTTCACTATATCGTACTTGAGGTCTCTAGTATTAGTGAATTAAGTGAGTTACTGCAAAAAAAGAACGGTTTTGCTGAAGTATCGAAAAGTTTAACTAGAGATGTAGATCTAAAAATAATTTTGTTAGACTATTAAAATAATTATGTAGGTCAAACTGGTCGCTAGAATATCAAAACTGTTTGTAGCATGTTGGAGTTTCCTACATAATTATTTTGATGGTTTAACAAAATTATTTTTGGATCTAAATATACTGAAACTTTTAGATACTTCAATAAAATTGTTTTTTTTGTGTATAAAAAAATCCATTTTGATATCAACAGATAAGTGTATAATCTGGTTAAAATTTTTTAAATATTGAATTAATTTTTAATATTCTCTAAATTTCTTTATGTAAAAGATTTCGCATACAAGAATCTTCAATATTTATCTGCTTTGTAAGGAAAATAGAGTTTGACAGGCATGAGCTGGTAGAATATTAGAAATTGCGTATTGAGCAGCCATGGTACTTAGTTACTGAAATCACGTTAATGGAAAAGAGATCCGTCTATAGATTCTTTTTGCTCGACGACGCGATACCTTCCAAAACTCACGTCTACAAGAGTATCGAAGTAGAAGACGGCGAGAAAAGAGAAAGAGGCAGGGACGAGTAAATGGAGTAAAAGGAGGCCGCGAGGCGCCTTAAAAATAGAGCTTCCGCCAGGTCAACGAACCGGAAGATATCTTATCGACCTAATACGCCCGTAAATCATCGTCGCGTGAACGCAGCCCATACCTTTTCAGATTCATGCCTGGTGCCTCTGCCGCGTCAGCTCCTAGTATCCGCATCAGCCATTTCCTTTTTGCTCATCTCCTCCACGGTTTCATCCTGCCTTTTCCTTCGCCCTTCTCCTCCTCGCTGCTTCCGTGCTCGACGCCCGACTTCAGCTAGCGCTTCCTTCCGTCCTCGAGAAAAATCTTTCGGGTGCGCACACCCTATTCTTGGAAACAAAATGGATATGATTGCGTGCACGATCGCTTGAGTACGTTGCCGTCGGAAATGTCACCTTTTTCGTTTTCCCACCACCTCGGCAGCTGCCGTGCGTAATAGCGACATTTTGTCAAAAAATGGAGAAGGAAAGAAGGCGATAGCCTGTCATGCGGGGTTACTTTGTCTCTGTAAGGAAGATAACTTTCCGCCACTCTAAAAGGAAGCTTCTGTAAGGGGATTGGTTTCTAAAAAGAAGCAGATTATGATTCTTCTTTCCATTTTCATAGAAAATCACTTCGTGGCTCTTATCTTGGTTATTCTTCTAGAAATTAAAAGATACATTCCAATGACGATACATTACACGTTTGTTGTTCCTGTACATGGAATTCGACCGAAAAACACCAACTCGTGGAAGTAACTTCCATCATTCAGTATTTTCCTCCAGAGTTACGAGACAAACAAGCCATTAGTCTCGTCGTTACTTGACATATTTCATCATCGATCCCGAATGTCCCGAACGATGTAAGGCAAACGACATAAAAGATGACGAGAGATGGCAGAAAATAACTGCTGCCAGGGCATCGTTGCAAGAAAGTTCAAGCTCGGGAATATGGAGTATTTTATTCGAGAATACGTGCTACCTTCTATGACATGACTTGCTATACGCATAATAAGCTGAACAGATATAGAAAAATTCAGTCTACCGATACTGAGGAGCCATATAACGAGAACGGATAACGAATATCATTTTGCAGATATTTGGCGTTCGCCTTCGCTGTTTGCCTGTATTCATCACAGATTCGTGTTAGCTCGGGGGCAAACTGAATTTCGTATTCAGCTCGAACAACTCGCGGAACTCGTTATTTATTTCGTAGAAATGAACAAAGTGGATGCGACTTGAGAAACATATTATATACCTCGAAGATTCGACAGCTGTTGTTTACCGTTCGCTCAATTAATACGCATATAAGTTATACGTACATGCTAAGCACAAAACGAGTGTTACACAACGATATTACTTTGCGAATATATGATATGTACGACGTGTCGCCTTACACCGAGAAAATGAGTAAGTTTAACGACCGCACTAGACTCTTTTATAAAAACTGCAGGGAGGAACCACGTCGCTCGCTTTTACAAGATGGACTTTTATTCACGTTTTCCACCCCGTGTCGTGTCTCTTAGCTTAGTAGCTTATTGTTTAAAAATAACTGGGATATGTCGACGTTTTTTATCTTTTGCGTAATATTATTATTATTATTAATTGGTATTAAATTTTTTAATTCGATGTTTATTGAAGTGGAATCTGAAGGAATTTATTACAGAATTATACATAAAAAAAGAAAAAAGCTATTATAATATTTCGTTTAATAATTTATGATTTATACATGTATTTATACATGTACAATTTTTATTTTGTTTATTCTGTATTAATTACGTTTTTATTGAAAAGCGTGCGAATACACACGTTCACATACGTATCTACATCAATATAACAGTATTATCCGCACTCTCTACCTTAAAACATCGCTACTCGTTAGACTTGTGGATTCATTGTCGCGTAATCACGTCGTTATGAAAGATTCTCTTCTCGATACTTTTGCATAAAATCTGACTTGTCGAAAAAACGTGATTTTCGTTTCTAGTGGATGATTCATAGGGAGGACGGATGTGTGCTCTCTGATGGAAAGCTGGTCGACGTTGCTGCTCTTGCGCCTGACATCTTCTTCTCTGTCTTTCATCCTTTGATTCTCTTCGTCCTTTCCCTCCTTTCCTTCCCTTCCGCTATCTCTTCTCTCTATTCGTTTCATGCTTTGTAAATATTACCTGCCACGAGACGTCTGCCGAGTTTATGTTCAGCTTGGTTGCTGCGTAACTGAGAGAGCCGAATGCGGGAAGAGATAGAAAAGGATGACTGTCGAGGGGAAACGTAACTGGAAAGGATGAGAGAGAGAGAGAGAGAGAGAGAGGGAGAGAGAGAGAAAGACAGAAAGAGAGAGAGTGAGAGAGTTGTAGCATTCGCAGAGGGTGGGCGAGGGGATACAAGGAGCATGAGGAGCACGAGGAGGTGGATGGAGTACGGGCAAACTCACTGAGTTTTTACCCCATTCTGAAGTCTGAGTGCCTCGCTCCGCTGACTCTCGAAACGGGTTGCGGAGGCAGAGAACCCAACGCACCACCACACCACAGCGATTCCCTGGCTGCCGCCACCACCACCATCCGCTTTCCTATCCTCTTTCTTCTTCTTTCGTTATTTCTGTCCTTTACTTCTCCCCCTTCTCACTCTCATTCTCACTCTCTCTCTCTCTCTCTCTCTCTCTCTCTCTCTCTCTCGCTCTCGCTCGCTCGTTCGCTGTTCCTACCTGCCTGACTGCCTTCCACGTTCTTTACAACCTTATTCCATCCACCTCTTAGACATGCCCTTACCAACCTTTCAGCCGAGCCCATCAACTTACGTGGGCTGCCGGGTCAGGAGCGAACCGCGACATGAGATTTTGGATAAGACCACAGCCTTTTGGGATTTTCTACTCTAGTCATATTGCGCTGTCTCGTTTCTATCAAGCCTGTGAGCATTCTCGTTAGTCATTCAAAGTCACGTAGAAATGACGGTAGTTAAACAGAAAATGACGTGATTTATCCAAAGAAACTCGCGTTATTCCATGTTTCTCATAAATTACTTTCTTCTTCTCTTCTAAATCTACCGATCATTGATGCGAACAAATAACTTCCATAAACTACAAAATTTCCTTAACACGGATTACATTAAATTATTCGCTTGACATAAAAGATTTAATTGTAAATGTACGGTACGATATGAAGGAAATTCGTTTAGTTTTTATCTTTTTATTTATTTAGCAAAAAATGACTAAAAGCACATACTATATCTGAATAATTTAACATACATGATCGTTCCCGTCGGCGAAGGCTTTTCTCGTAGCGTCGAATATTCCGCCATTGTCCATCCCTTGTGTTCCGTTATTCTGTGCAATTATTATTAAATTTCTAGCAAATTAACGAAGGCTATTTGTTACTCATTTTATTAACTGATCGTGTAAATTTAACATGCGGATACGCGCAGTAAATGTAACGCGTGTTTACCCACAAACAGCGTTAAACAGATCATTAAGTGTAGAGAGGGAGAGAGAGAGGGAGAGAGAGAGAGAGAGAGGTGGGGGATTGGAGTAAAATTACGCATGTCCGCACATACATTTACGAAAACTCTAATTAGAAACGGCATTGAACATTGTTGAAAACGTGGTAAATTGTCCCGTGTTATACTGTTTTGGTTCTTATCGGCAGACGTGTATCAAAGTGAATTGTAATGTCGTGCGGTTGCGGTACCATTAACATTTACGTTATGTTCTTATGGTCCCCGGAACCATAGTATATGGATACATAGAGAGTGGAACTTATCGTTACGTGTTGCAGTGGTAAACCAACGTTACGATCCGGAAGTGCAAAATCCCAGCGGCTTCCTCGGCAACAACGTGCTCATGCGCTGCAACGTGCCCAGTTTTGTTCGCGATCACGTCACGGTCACGTCTTGGCTCCAAGAACCAGTCTTCAATATTTATCCCTCCACAATGGGCGGTAAGCAAATTAAAGAATAAACAGAAATAATACATATAGATACGTTTACATACATTTATATCACTTTTCAATATGAACGAGCGTGTGTAATTACTCTAAAATGGAATATAGAATTATTCTATTTAATATATATGAAACAGGAGGAATTGAATTATTCTAAAATTACAGTTACCTTTTACCGCGCACGAATATTGGGTATTGTCGTGTAAATTAATTATATCGTTGGAAAACAGGAGTTATATTGCATGACGTCATCTACGTGCGCGCACGTATAAACACGTAATTTCCTTCCGATCAATTTAGATTTCCATGATGATAGAAACGTAATTCAAACCTCCTCCCCACCCCCCGTCATGCGGGTGTTGTTATAGATGGCAAATATCATATGCTGCCGACCGGCGAGTTGATGATAATCAATATTACGCGAAGCGACGCGCAGATGACGTATCGGTGCAGAACGCATCACCGGCTAACTCAGGATACCGTCGTCAGCAGCAATGTAGGGCGGCTGCAACTGACTGGTGAGTACGTCATAGATTTTTCTCCTTGTACACTCGGGTCACTCAAGCTTGCTTTGCTTAATCGCGTTACTTTGTAAGAGATTCCTTGATCAATTTTAATTGTAGCTAGTTTTTCCGTATAATAGTTAAAATGTGTCAGAGCATTGTTCATAGTTAAATTTTATCAAAATACTGTTTATATCTATAAACTATAACTTATTAATATTCAAAATTATATTATGTTTACAATTAAAAAATAGGGAAATTAATTCGCAAAATATTAAATGAAAAATCAAAATTTTATTAAAATAAAGTTCGCCGGGAAAAAGTTAACAAATTTTAATTAATAGAAAATATTGTTGTTATCTTATTATTTTACATATTATTTTCGATTAATTTCTCCCCTGAAGTTTATTTTATCGAGAACTATTTTCTATAGCTCTAATTACTCGCGAAAACAATAGTTCGATATTTTCCTCGAGGAAATATTGGTTTTAAACTAGTCGATGAAATTGTTATATTCAAACATATTATGATAAGAAGTCTATTCATTCCTCTGGATACAACAGATGCAATCTCATTATTCTTATTATCCAACTATCTCAATTCAGGATTAATTGGCTGGCGGAAAATGGGTTCGATTCCGTTCAGTCGTTCCATCATAGTTTCAAATACAAAGATGAATTTATTTCGACAATTATTAAATTTTTCGAAAACGTAAACAGAGCAGAAGCCTTGGATATCCGTTGTGCTTGTCGAACGGTAAATTCCCGTTCCGCCTCGAGCTGAACATATAGCGGACGTATGGCGGAGTTTAATTAAATGTTTACTTTACCTGAACCCGATTCGATCGATATCGTAGCAATTATATTTCCCATTTTTTTCATTTGGAATGAAAGCAACTAAAGAAGAGCGGCGAAAAGGAAAAATTTGTCCCACAAATCGAGAGCACGATACATCTGCGTTATTGAAATTTTTAATAAAAATAAAGTTTCGGAGCTCGCAAAAGTGCGTAATTATACACGAATATTTATTTATATTATAAATTTAATCGCCGACATGAGTCACCGTTTAATTAATGTGTATCCGCGTGATCAAAAGGGATCGTCAAGAATCAAGGCATCATCATATCGAGTAAATAATTAATTCCAGGGAGCATCGTCCTCGTTTTTACGCTATTGCAATTTGTTCCCTATCGTGTCGAGCACATTAACTCGGATCTTATCTCGCGTTAGCGGAGTGGTCGCTGGGGATGAAGGAAGATAAAAACAGTGCGTTTAACGGCCGGCGTGAGACCCGTCCGAGCGACTTCTTCGACAGCGCGCGGTCGATGTTTAATTAGATAACGGTTAAAGAAACGATGACAGTATGGCCTTATGTTACTGAGAACTGAATAAATTACTGAGAACTGAATAAATGAGGGTGAAGAGAAGATAGGACGAAGGAAGTTACCCCGAGCAGTCCCGCTAATGACGTTTCTCTTCTTCGTAGGATGTCACATCGCGTTCGAAATTAAGTGGAACTTTAATCGCATCCGCACGAACACCGAGGGAAATGCAAACCATTGTGCTTACCTTTCCTATCGCAATACCATCGCGATGTAGCCGACCTGGTGACGTCAATTCTTCCGGGATCATTACAAATACATTATCCGTCTGTTGTTCTTATTTAACGTACGCGATATTGAAATTGATATCTCATATATCACAAGAAAAACTGAAATAATGTTTATGATGGAATATTGATCGTACTCTTTTATCGGAGTATCTTCATTGTGAAGTCTCCTCGTCGTCTTCCTATAGACTATATTCTAGATTTTCAAAACTACTAGACGGAAAAGAAGAGAGAGAGAGAAAGAGAGAGAGAGAGAGAGAGAGAGAGAGAGACAGTGTGCGTTCAGAAACTTTTAAACTAGGAGGATCTCCTGTGACATCGCAAATTTCGGAGGACGTGCGACTTATTTAAAGTTTCTCGTAGGTTCGAACAGAGCCGTGATTTTATGCGGTCGCTTACTTTCTGTTCTTATATTATACTTGCAAGCAAAATTCTCCATGTTGCATTTGTAAAACCGCCTCGATCATAGACACGCTCCGAATAATAATGCCAATTATAATACGATTATTGCAAATTTCGGCTAGCTTCGTCATACCGCGTTTAAATAAACTGTTGTTGAAAGAATTTCTCAATTCGGGAATTAGCTTGACTAATATAACACAATTTAACCAGGTACAACATGTTTGAAATCCATAATCAGCACGCTGCTTTGGTATATTTCTAATCACACAAATATTTCCAACAAACATCAATTAATTATCACCACAATTCGCTCGCGAGTTAATTACCTCGTGTATCATTCGACGGCTTGCCGAATAAACGATATTCGGTGAAAGCCTAGCAGCGATATACAGGCAGGATAAATATTTGTTCAAAGCGAGTTGCGAGTATAGAAGGGAACGAATAGAATTAACCAAAAAAAATTTTGCATCAACCGCTAATTCCAGGGATAGCTCGGGTTCTTTTTACATTTCCGAATTTTGCAATACAAACAGAATAAAATTAATATAAAATAATATGAACTGTTATACAACAATTACTGCCGCATCAATATAATTATTCAGTAATTATTGAAATAATGTATGATATTATGTATATATACATAATAACGACAATGGAACAATTTAAATTGTAGCGTATCATCGATAATGACAATCGAATGACGTTTCATAATTTAACGTTATCCTTGAGAGGAGAATGAGATGCGGGATGGAAAGTAGTGAGGAGAGAAACGCGTAGCCGCGCGTTTGTGTGCCGCCGCATAATCAGGCAAGAAAAACCGATTCGACGTGCCCGAGCAAGAATATCTCGGCGGACGTTAAAAAATTCACGGGTTTCAATTTTCCAGAAACGTACGCGTTCGCGCTCGTGCACTCGTAATAAAACCGGCCCCGCCGGGCTGGGCCCCGCCGCGTTGGATATCTTCCGCCGTAAGATAGAAATTTATGCTAAGCGCACTTAGGTAGTTAATAACTTAATAATGAAGTTCAGGAGAAATTTGATCGTTTGCATATTTCGACGCGCGCCTTCGGACCGTCGGTTGGTATATACCCTCTAAATTAACCAAAATCTCGATGTATAGTAGTTTTCCCGGAGTAATGAGGAAACTTTTCGGCGCATTATCCGCGAGCGTGTAAATCCCAGCAGGAGGCTCGCCGAAAATTTAGAGAGCCAGCGTATAAAGTTAACGTTTATCGCGCAATTTCGGGGAAAGTAATAACGCACGATCGTGAAACGATTCCGGAACACAATTCAACGATACACGTGAGCAGTAGAGCGGACGTTATATATCTCTTCATTCACGGAAAGAATAGAGTTTTGCTGAAGTATCTAAAATTTTAGCTTATAGATACAGATCTGAAAATAATTTTGTTTGGTCTATCAAAATAATTATGTATATAGGACGCTTAAACTGATTGCTAAAATATTAAAACTTTTGCAACATTGCCACCAACGTCCTACATAACTATTTTGATGGTCCAAACAAAATTATTTTTAGCTTTGAAACTAAATTTGTAGATACTTTAACAAAATTATTCTTTCCATTTAATTCTACATTTCAACACTGAATTTTTTATAAATGTAGTCTCTTACGAAAAGACATCACTAAATTTCAGAATTGTGGCAGAAATTTCAAATTATTAGGATATAGAATTTATATTTCTATTTAATTCTATTTGCTTGAATTTTATTTGTTTTGGGGATCTGCATTCTACATGATCGTTTAGATCACTAAATTCTTTCTCTTTGGTGAATCGAAGAACCGTAACTCTTCGGAATTGCACTGATCAAAACGTCAGGTATAACGATATAATTAATTAACACTAGCATTGTTATTACTCGCATTGACATTTGCTATTAATTTTAATCATATTGGGAAATGCAGCGCGAGGCAGCGCGCATATACAGTTACTGTATAAACGTATCTCACGTAAACGATAAATGTTTTTGTCGCAACGTACAAGAGGTATGTATGAACGCTCGCGGCGAGTATTCGCCGCCGTAATCCAACGCATTAATTCCCCGTTAAATGTAACAGCACGTATGTGCGATGCTGTCCACACATCATTTGATCGCGAAATAACACACGTGCCGAAGAGGAGGGCACTTGAGTATCTATGGACGAATCAATAAACCATGCTGCATTTCTACCGCAGATATACGCGGGGGCTAGATTGAGTGGCTTTATTTTAACATAGCCATGGCGAAATAAAAATACCTATATTCGTTGCAATTGAACAAATGAAGTTACTATAACGTGACCGTGATACGCCGCATCATATTTGATATCATTAACCGATCTATCTTCATTCTTAATGCAAACCCCTAATACATTTAATTAATTTATGAATTTTCATGCCGTGTATAAGAAACTCTGAAATTTCGAGCGAGGCGAGATTATTGTAGACGAAAGTATGCTGGTCGCGAATTAGGAATGCGAGCGATTTACGCGATACAGTTTCGGCGAAGTACTAGCGAGGAATATTGTAGCCGTATGCAAAAACTTAATTAACAAATGCGATTTAATTTTTATTTTTTTAATTATGTTACTTTTGTGATTTTATTACGAATACAGCGGCAATCGCATTCGTATGCGTGTTGCATACGAATTTCTTTTTTAGACGTAACGTTTTAATTTATCTCAACGTAGACTGATGCGGTCTCAAAAAACAAGAAAATGTTGCGAAATTTCGTTAATGCTCGGCGCAAGTTTCGTGCAGCAGTTCGCTCGACGTTGCCGTTCAAGCGGAACGCAATTTTTCCAACGTTTTGGATAGCGCGTGACGTAATTTCAAATTCTCGCCAAAGCGCGGAGATATATCGTCGTTATCTAACGTGGTTCCGCTTCATAGTGCACCGTGTCGTAAGACGTGGCGTTATCTGCGACCATAACTCCCCATTAAACGTCGCGCTGGATGCGTGTGCGGAGTCCTGCCTTTTTTTTTCTTTTTGCCTCCTACACCCCCGTATTCCTCCCGTCTCTCGCCGCCCGAGATCCCGCATTTCCTTCCCTCTCCGCGGACAGTAACGATTTATGAACATATTTTCCGCGTATCACACGGCAAACTTGCCTGGAATCGATCCCCCGAACGAGCGGCGGCGGCGACCCAATAGCGTTCCACGATTTAATCTTCGATTTTGCGCTATAATTGAATCTACGCGCACCGCTTGTTTCTATTTTCAGAAATTCGAGGTTCCATGCCACCTATAATAAATGAGAAACTGGTATACATGTCGGCTCGCCTAAAGGACACCGTCGTGATCCCTTGCGTGGCCTACGCCAACCCCACCCCGACTAACAGGTAAGATTTTTTTCGATATAATTCAGCCACATTCTCTCTCTCTTATTAATATTATTGCAGGCTAATCAATTATTAATTTCATAGATTTATTAATGTCGCTTATTAATATTATAGATCAATAAATTATGTTTAATTCTCAATTAAATTTATATTATTAACGAAGCGTATTTGCGAGGTAGAGACGGTTCTTTCGTGTATGTATGCGTGTGTACGTGTACCGGATCTCCAGACCGTGTACCGAAAGTCCGAGTTTTCAGTAGTATTACCAATTTCGTAATTCCCATAATTAGATTTTAAATAGCATTTTTTTCCTCACCGACCTCGTTCCTCTTCTCTTATCCCCCTTTCCTTGGGGAGGGTTTGCGTTACGCTCAGATACGCAATTAAACGGTAAGCAGGCATTTACTTTCCGCCGTGGCCCAACGATGCTGTTAAGTAATCTGCATACAAAGTATGGTACGCTGCGCTTGAATTAAAGGCGATGCTTGAAGTTTAAACAGGCCGCTTCACTAACATCACATACGTCGCGATTGCGAGATAGCGGTCACAAAATCCATATATAACGCGACGTCCCGAAGTGAATGGCAGTTAATAATGAAGAGCGATCGCGACGTACACGATAAATATTGATGATCCGATATTAGAACGAAACTGGCGTATATTGGGTTTCAATCGCATTTCCGTTTTCGTTACGCAAGAATATGGAGCGTAAAACTGTAGTGAACGAGTAAAGTTTACGTTGAAAGAATGCGCCTCGTGTTATCTTCATTGACTCTGCCAGGCACAGGAAATATCGTGTAACTTCTCCACGAGGAGTTTCGTTAATGCCATCTTTCCAAGAGGAATTAAAGGAGAGTGTAGTTAATTAGATGAAAATTGGTATAAAAGTCGGTACCTTTGTTACGTAGGAACTCGGTGGAAAATAAGGACAAAATAAAGATAAAGACTCATTATCTGAAATAATATGTATTACAGAATCAAACCGCACGTGTGCGTTTAATAATGTTTTGCGCTATGCTCTCACGAGAGCGTTGCTGCGCACGACAGCGCCAGGTGATGAGGAAATTGGAATCTTTGTGCAAACGGACGAACAGGCGGACGATGCTTATTCGCTACTAGACGCCTGTGTCTCTATTTTCCTTATATTAATGCTAATTTTAAACATAGATCCGCGGACGGAATATTTCGCGCAATGTGAGCTCCACGCGCAGGAACGCCCACGCGAGTTCATCGACATCGCGGACTCTGGAAGACCGGAGGGTAGGTGAACCGAGAGGTGAACGAGAAAACAGTTATGAAACGAGGATTTTCTTCTCCTCCGCTCTCCGACTATTAAATATTACGTTAACTCTTACGGATACCATCCTTTTCCCGCTCGTGCATATTACTAGCTCGCGGATGTATTACATTTATCTCGCGAGGAACGAGGAAGAAAACGGCAAACGAAATGGTAACGCGTACGACTGATATTTTATGTGTTGTACTACAAAGCTTTTCAAGCCTGTTGATTAGCTGCAGGACAGAAAGGATCTTTCTGTCCTAAGCTCATTTTACATCCCAAAGAACACATTAAATTAAGAGAAAATAAAAATAACTTTATTTTAATGTTATGAAAGTCGAAATAAGGATTTTTTGTTACAAAATTTGACTGCTTACTGACGTTAAAAGTCAAAGTAAAGTCATTGTTGACTTTTGTGTGTTCCTTGGGAATCGCGTAAAAGTAAGTCTTGAAACACCATAGGTGTAGTAAGCCTTAGGAAATTAACCAATCATAGTCGAGTATTCTTCTCATATTCGACTGTGATTGGTTAATTCCTTAAGGAGTGTATATCAGTTGCACAAGTTCAAATGGACACCAGCAAATCACAGCGCTAGAAAAAATTTAAATTCTCCCTAGGTGAAAGTCGTTGTGATTGGCAGTGGGCAATTGCAATAGTGTGCAAGTGAATCGCTCTCTTCCTTAAGGCTTAAGGCTTACTACATCTATTGTGTTTCGGGACCAATTATAAGTTGTAAGTGATTAGTAAAAGACTTGATTAATCACAATCGGATATGAGGAGAATATTTAATGCGATTGGGTCAATTCTACAACTACGCTTACGCGATTGGATAGAAATGGACTCTATAGCTAATCAACATGCTTAAAGAGTTCGTCGTACGAGACGTGAAACATCAATCCATGTCAGGATCGCGACTCACATCGATGCAACACCACGGAGAGAGCGATGAGAGGCTCTACGAAACTTGTTGCGTGGTGGGGAGCGTGTTATTACAGCGGATTACGCGATTAGCAACTAGTTTGGTCCCATCATTGATGCCGCGAGCACCGTGCAGAGGATCGGTGCAATAATCAAACTCGGGTCAAATAGAAACACACGGTTGTCGCCGTGTCGTGAGATGCATTTAAATAATTATGGATGAACCGAAAATCGATGAACGCGAGACGTTTAAGAGTTACCTTAAAAGTCAGTGCTCTCTGTCGCCTCACTTCTCACTTCGATTTTTTATGAGAATCCTTTCTCTCTCTCTCTCTCTCTCTCTCTCGCTCCTGATTTCTCACGCGTCGAAAATATAAAATGAAAATTTTAAACGTCGCCGGCAGAACATATCGACGGAACTTTGATCGTAAAATTTGTAGAATCGACGCGGATATAGAACGATGTGATTCGCGGTTTGTGCACGCGCACGCGTGCGTGTATACACGCGCGCGCGTGCGACGCGTATAGAGCCGCCAATCTACGCTGGCGCGACGATAGTAGCCGGGGGGATGAACGAAGATAGTCAGAAGATATATAGACGTCGGGAGGGCTGTATGGGTAGCGCAAACAAACCGACCGCTGATTACAGAGACTGCTTCTGACAGCCCATCAAATATTCCGCATTTACGTATACGTCGACGTCACTGAGTATTCCATGCTTGTGTTCATCAACCGCGCGTTCCCTCTCACCGGTCCTTCTCCAGCCGCCCTCTTCTTCCACGTCGACTCCCTCCTGCTCCTCCTCTTCTAGTCGTCTCTTCCGTAGGTTGATTTAGCCGACGGAAGAGAGTTGCGGGGGATGGAAAGCTAGAGAAGCTGGAGATAGAGATAAGGGATATAGAAGAGGAAGAGTGAGACAGAGGCAGACAGAGAAGAAGAAGAGAAAGCTGAAGCAAGTAGAGAGGACAAGAGGATGGAGAAGACGAGGATAGAGAAGATGAAGACGGAGAGAGGAAGAGAGTTTGAGGGTTCGTCGTGGCGCGGGAGTCTTCCATCTCTCCGGGTTCTCTCGCACTCGAGCATCCCCGTATCCCATCTCCTACCCTCGCCAATTTCCCTTCGTAAATTCGATTATCTATAGGTATACTCCTCATCCCTATGGCTCCACTTCTGCTTCACTGCCAACACGGCCGCCATCTCCGCTCCTATCCTCTTTGGCCGTCTCCTCATCATCATCCTCCTCCTCGTCATCGTCGTCGTCGTCGTCGTCGTCGTCGTCATCGTCGTCGTCGTTGGCCTTCCACGTCTCCTCCCGGATGCGGAGTAAGCAAGACCCGGACCACTACGTTTTAGCGGATTTCTAAACCACGTGGGGCCGATCATCGCGTAAAAGCGAGCGAGAGAGAGAGAAAGAGAGGAAGAGACTAAATCGAGGGAGTCTGTGAACGCGAGAGGGACGATGAGCCAGGGCTAATGGCGCGTTACGAGCAATCGCGGAAAGATGAACTGGCTCCATTCGGTCCCGATAAACTTCCCGTAGAGCGATAAGGGATCTCGAATTGGGATCGTTTTAAATATCGCCAGTATTCGGATAGCTATATTCGATTTGTATAATGAGTAATCTCATTTAATTAGGCTGATTTATCTGAAATATTTATAGCGATTTTACATGTTAATCGATTTAAGTGAAGGGGTTATTTAAGTAAAATACTTTATATTATTAAAGCGAATAACATTTATCTTTTATATTTTTTGACTTATTTAATTGAGTTACAGCAGATTTAATTGGAATTCTCTTTATATTTGAATTCCATTTTTGCACAATATTTAAAAACAAGTTTTACATTATTAAAGAAACAACGTATTTTCAACTCATTTAATTAGAGCGCGTAGAGCGCATATGTTTGAAATTTATTCGCGTCATATTAAAAATGCATGTCAATCCGGTTATACAAATACATATGCAAGTTCGTTAAATAGTCGACGCGAACAGATTCGGATCGCAAAAATGGCGCCAGTTTGAAATTTTCATTAGTGACTCCGTTGCGGCATTGACGTCGTACCGATGGGATTGATAAGACGATAGAGAGGGAGGGAAATTATCTCCGTCGAGATTTATATACTTCTCGTTAGAGCGCTTCTCTATATAAAATCCATCTCTCGCGCATAAGCTCAATAATGTACATGGTATGCAAATAGAAAATAATGCCAATAAATCTCTTTAATGTCGCTTAATGCCACGAATTAATCGTAAAAGATAGACTATTTTGTCCGGATTAACATGTTCTTGCGCGGACGTCGGTGCGCATTTCGCATCGTACTGACCACCGATAAGGTCAAAGGTCGCGCGTGCTCGCCAAGGATCGATTGGATTATCCTGTTTGCCGAGACTGGCTTAAATCGAGACAGCACGGGCTCCCCGAATTTTCAATTAAGATGAACATGGAGAGCCGGCGAAGTTATGCGTGATCTCGTTTCGTGAAATTCGCAAGGGATCGATCTACGGAGTTGCGTTATATTCGCATAGTTATGCAATAGCGTTATAGCGTGCACCTCGGCAAAAATCCGCGACGTTATCCTGAATTACAGCGTAAGAATGTAGATGTTTCCACTTGACTATATTTCACTGAAAAATATGGTCCTAAAAATGGGGAAGTTATAACACAAACACTAGATGGAATATTGATCTTAACATCACGTGTACGAAGCAAAGCTTTCTATATGTAAAGCATATTTACTAATACCAGTAGAGAAATTTGCTAAATTAGTAAGGAGACTTGCTAATACTAGTAAAGAGACATGTGTAGATGTAAGTATTTTCCGACTCTCTAAATTCTTGAAGTGTAATCTTACTCTAAAGAGTGTAAACTGAACCAGTCTTGGAAAAGAGTGGCTCAATTTTCAATCTTTAAGAGTGAGATTTCACTCTTCAGAGTGAGATATACTCTAAAAGTTTTAAAGAGAACACACGCGCCATCTTAAGTTTAATTGCGGAATGTCCTTATGAAAATACCAGTAATTTTATAGGAGTGGATCTATATTCTCTTACACCGTGTCCTAAATCTTAGCGAGACAAAGGCATTTAAAATAGTTTGAATCCAGATCGTAAATTTTTACTAGAATAGGTAAAAATTCCTATTGCATTCGTTAACTTTTTATGATCTAGTGATATATGTATATATTTACCAGTGTTTTTAAAAAATTACATCTTTGGTAAAAATATTAAGTTATTTAGTTCAACTCAACCTTATTTAAAAAAAAATTGTTTATTATACATTACTAATGTATAAATGAACGTAATTTTCGAGCTTTTCTATATGTCAATGATAGGAAAAATAACTATAAGGAAGAAATTCTATTGATTGACTTATAGATACAAGGAAAATTTTTGAATCTTTCTACACAGCTTTTACCAGGCTACGTCTTGTTATTCAATGAATATTTTATATTTATAATTAATTATAATATTATATATATATATTTAATAATATATTGTAAAAATGTCATAAGTTTTTTTTCATTTTTATATAACATTTCATGTTTGATATATTTGTCTTTTAAATAATTTTTTTCGACATAATAAATTTTATTACAATTTGATATTTTATTTTTTAGGTCCGTAATTTTGGTCTGCCAATTTTTATGTTTCGAGCTCATTTTTGTATTCAGCAATTCCCTAAATCTTTAAAAATACCCTTAAGAAAAAGTATTTCAATATACTGAATAGTTAATCAGTATATTGAAATACTTTTTCCTAAGGGTAACTAGACAATAAATGTTCCATTTCTAAAAAAAGAGACCTTAAAAGGTTATGGATACTCGCCGGCGCGGCCGCAGCCATCTGAATAATCGTGTTGATGAATATCATTAAAATGCATGTTCTTTAAAAGTGAACGTTTTGAAAGCGTGCCAGGGTACGTATCTCGCCGCGCTGTATATGCGTGTATAGAAGCAGAAATACGGGAATATAGCCGCGTGATATGGACGTACAATAGCAAGGAGAAATGCATTCGGTCTTTCCCGATGTAACAATAGTTATTTTGTGGTAAGCGTGTGCGGCGAGGAGATACGGTTTTGGACAGGCACCGGCGCGCATACATGAGCGCAACGTTTTCGAAATCTCGTCGGTTAGGTAACTACAATAATAATATCGTCGCTTTGACGAGCGCGGGAAATGGTAAATTTGCATACGCATTCTGTTGAGAATGCGCACATGTGAGTCGCGCGGAGCGATGCGAATGCAGAGTTTCTGCGAGTGTCTACCTACACCGTCGATGCTTTCACTTGGTGGCCGTCTGATAATGACGATTCTTGGAAATGGAATCGAATCGAATTGAAATACACTATATGACGGAGAATCCTGTTTCTGTTTTCCCGCGTAGGTGGTACTACAATAGGAATCAGAGGGAGGAACCGATCGAGGAATCGTCGGGCCATTACGTGGTGCGTGACGGCTCTTTGATTATCCAGAGCGTCGAGGAGAATGACGCCGGCTCTTACATGTGCACTGCCAGCAATTCTGAAGGCAGCGAAACTTTGGAGATCAGACTAACAGTGTCTGCACCACTGAGTGTTCACGTGCAACCGGCGATACAGACGGTTGATCTGGGGAAATCCGCCTATCTGGTAATCAATCATTGTCGATACCGATTTATCCGAAAATAAATAATGTTTGTTTAATCACGTAGGAATAAGTCGGACAGAAAAAGGAAAGAATAATATTTCGAGGGATCTAATGCCGCGAAGGGTAGAAAAATAAATAAATATCATAGGCCGATGTTTAGATTCCGTTTTTATTTCAAGACCGTCTTAACTTTTCGACTTCTATGCTAATTTTCCAAACACAAGTTCTCAAGTCGGACGAGCGGTAACCCTAAAAAATTTTCTATACAATAACAAATTTATGATGTTAGCAATTATATTAAAATATAATAAATAAACAAATTAATAAATATAATAAAATGCTCTTATTTTTATTTATATAGAAAAGCTATAATTATAAAACAAATAACAAAACAATTATTCTAGTTCTTGTATAATACTTGTTTTTGCACAACTTTGCAAATAACGTAAATTTTATTAAATTAATATTAATTTTTTAAAATTTTAATTAAAGAATGAAAGAGATAGAACTCTTTAAAGTAATTATATAATAATATTCCCAGAAGAACCGAATGGCTCGCTCCAAGTATAAATAAGTTATATCTCTTTAAAAATTGTATATGTACGTAACGCATTTATTTGTCTCAAACAAAAGCTTAGAACTTAAAAATTAATTGGAAAAATTCACAAAAGTTATCGAAACTTATAGAAAAATTATTCTGTACAGATTTTATTATATGTTTGAAGCGAACAGCTCGCTCCGTTAAGAAATCGAAAAGTTAAGTAAGTATTTTAAGATACAGGTCTCTGGTTAGTTTAACAACTTAAGACTGTATTTAAGACGGTCTAAAATATAAAAACTGACTGAATATCTTATAGAATTCTCGAGAGAATCCTACTTTAGAGATCACTTTAGATAATCCATAATTCAAGTTAGATTTTCGAAATCCATTTATAATAAGGAAATAGAATTCCATTTATAATTTTTGACCTGTGCATTTTAATGTATATATTCATTTTAGTATAATATATTTATTATATATCGGTAGTTGGATATATTGGTAAGATATCCGTCTTAAAAAATCGAAAGGTCCACGTTCAAACCTGGGCTAATGTAATATTTTTCATAAATTCTTTGCACTGTTTTAAGATGGTATTATTGATTTGATAATCAATGTGATTTGTGATATTATCTCTAGCAGCTTCAATTTATGATTGCGTTTGAAGTTCAACAAACAGAATCAGCACACAATTTATAGGAAAATATATTTGAAAATTTACATATATGAATATTATTAAGCATCAAAGCATTGAATATAGGATTTTTTCTCTTGATTGTATTATTCATTTATCTATCAATTTTCGATTTATTATTATTTTTATACATGTTTTTATTCTGATGGTTTAACTGTTTCTCGTATTATAGATAATCAATGAATGATAAATTATAGAACGTCCGAAAGTCTTTATCTTGTATCTAATAAGTTTAAGGATATAAGAACGTCTGACAGATCGCTTACAAATATCGAACACTTCAATTACTGTTATGAATATTTACCGCGGCATTTTCAGCCATCTGTAAATACTGTAAAGCGCTGTCGATGACGCGGGAAATGAATCTGTACGTGCCGGAAATTAATGCCAGTCGTGATGTCGGGTGTGTGATTCGAATATATTTTCAGGAATATAGAGATCTGATTTTTCTCAAGACGCTCACGGTTTGCGGATTCGAGATGAGACGGTATTCTCCTTCGTTTCCGCACGCCGGGCGAGAGCGCCGGGCAAGTCCCTTTCTTGATTCTCATCAGTTTCTTCCGTCTAAACTCCTTTGCAGACGTGCACCGCAAGTGGATTTCCGCAAGCGGCACTCTATTGGCTGAAGGATGGTCAGCCATTGAGAACGGGCGCCCGAGTAAGGACGGTCTCCAGCGAGCGTATTTCCGTGACGTCGGTCGCGAGAGAAGACCGCGGCATGTACCAGTGCTTCGTGCGGAACGAGTACGAAATGGCTCAAGGAATTGCGGAATTACGCTTAGGGGGTAAGACATTCTGGCATCGCGTTCCGGATATACAATAGTATACTATATGTCGCGACGCCTTATTATAAAATATTTGGGCAAGCTCAAGATAGTCGTCATGTCGTCACCCGGAGACTGGAAAATCTTAAAATTGTTATAACATCAACGATCTCTTTCTTGGTAACAAATCAAATATAATTAACATATTCGACTATATTTTAAAACTGAATTATATTCTAAAATGTCTACGTTATTACTTACAAAATTGTTACGCGGAAAGAACGAATTTGTTGAAGTATCAGAAAATTTAGCTAGATACAGATCTAAAAATAATTTTATTGGACCATTAAAATAATCACGTAGAACACTCAAGAGGGTTATTAGAATGTCAAAACTTTTTGGGGCAACATTGCTCATTCACTCTTAAATCTATAATGTCAAATTGAATCTAATTTAAGTTGCCTAATTAAGTTGTCTAATTTAACTGCTCCTACTTGATATATCGTTATTTTATACTGAAACAATGGTTAAATTTGACATTGGCCTGGTTTACACCGTGCGCTTAGTCCACAACCTATACGATAGATGTCTTTGTTTAACCTCTAGAACACCCATTGTTTAGGTCGCGGACTAAACGCACGGTGTAATCGTAGCCATTGTCAATTTGATCCTACATAGTATCAAATTGGCACTATATGGTGTCAAATTTAATCATTGTTTTAGTAAATAATAAAATAACGATATATTGAGTAGGAGCAATAGCGACATAAATTAGGTTAAATTTGACACTCACGAGGGGAACCCCAGAAATGGCACCCTTGGATTTAGATGCCAATTTTTTTTGATAACTCTACAGGTCAGAAAAGAAGTTCGTCGATTTTTCCACATAGGCCTTAGTTTTTGAGTTTTTAAATTTTGAAAATCGACCGCGCTTTAGGCGGCATAGATGAGCTGTACCATTAACATACTTCGCCAGCAGTACGACGAACCTAGAACTCCCATCGTTCGATTTCCAACGCGAGCACCTAATCGCCTGAGCCAATCGTACTACTTGTGAAACATGTCAATAGAACGGCTCATCTACGCCACCCAAAGCGCGATCGATTTTCAAAATTTAAAAACTCGAAAACTAAGGTGGCCTATGTGGAAAAATCGCCGAACACGGAATTTCTTTTCTGACTTGTAGAGTTACCAAAAGAATTGACATCTAAATACAATACCATTTCAGAAGTTCCCCTTGTTAGATTGAACAATATATGCTTGAGCGTCCTACATAATTATTTTAATACGATAAAATTATTTTCAGATCTGTATTTAGCTAAATGTTTAGATATTTTAGCAAAATCGTGTAAATCAATTCGTAAAATAGTATACAATAACTATTATAATAGTCGAGGCATTTTCAATGACTTTTCATCATCCCCTAGATCAAATTATTTTTATCGCGGTAACACATTTTATACATAGTTTACTGTTTAATTACAGTATAAGCATTTATATCTTATTAACGCTACGATTGTTTATCGATCTGGGTAAAAAAATCCTTGTTTATCGAGCAATCGGTGAATGTTTTGTCGTTAATACCATAGAATTCTTTCTCTATACGATTTACGATTCGCGTGCCATTTTATCGTAACGCATTCTCCATCAGGAAGTAGCACGACTTTCCTAGTCGCAGGCTACGTGCTATTTTTGCGGAGAAGTGCCC